AAAAGTCAGATCAAAGCCAAATCAGGTTTGCACACGACTTAGGGGGTCCTCTAACGAATCCAAGCATTTAGAACCGTTTTTGACCCTTCTAAGACACTTTTTTAATTGAAAAAAGAAACACCGTTAAGTGAAGCAGGGGACCTAAAATCGCATTCGTTATGCGAAGCATGGTCCCAAACTTCGCTAAGCGAAAATCGCCCATAGGAAACATCGTTATACGGTGCATATTATTTTCTTTAAAAACACATTGTTATGCGAATTCATCGCTAAACGAGGCAATCGTTAAGCGAGGCACCACTGTACTTAAATGTTAGGGTCTAATGAATTCAAATGTACTTGGTTTCATCAGTCACAATCAGCCATTTTGTCATCTATAAAGAATCTTAACCTGCAGTTAAAAGCAATGGTTCTTTGAAGGGAGTTTATTATGGTAATTTTGATTGGTAGAATATATAAATGCATTAGTCCAGTGAAAGATACTGTAGTTCTTATGAGTATTGAAAGAAATACATTATCTCACTTAGACAAAACTTTCATTGTCACATACTATGCTATTCTGATATACAGAAATGGATATAAATGTTTATTATTTATATCATCTGCACTCTAAAATTTCTCAGTGACCCAAGACTTCTTAGAAAAGTGATTTCTATAAACTCTAATACTAAAAGATAGTTAAACCTAAGCTAGAATCCTATTGCCAAATTTTGCTTGTTTAAAAGAAGTCATGAAAGTCTTTGTGGCCAATTACTATTCATTAATAAGCAGCTGGTTCCATGCCCATTTGTCTCTGCAGTCTATTCTGTTAGCAAATTCTTGACCAAGCAGGAGAATTTTTTTAATTTTTTTAATTGTATTTTTCTTCTTTTCTACCCGTTGTAACCAGAGTGATTTATTACAATGTACAGTCAACCCCTGACTTACAAACGGCTCTAGTTAGAAACATTTCGACTTACAAACCACTCTCATAGAAAAATATTGACTTGAATTGCAAATTTAGATTCCTGTTACGAACCAAAAAAACCCTGTGGGAGGTGGGGAAAGCGTGAAATTTGAACTTTCAGTTAACCGTTGGCCAGTGAAGAGGGTGCCTGTCTGCATCCTCACCTCTTCCCAGCGTTTTGAGTGTTAATTTGGAGACAGTCTTCAGACTGCCTGGTACTGCCTGGTACTGCCTGATACAGTGCTGTACAGACTGTATTTTTATTTTTTGGCTTTTTTAAAAATTTTTATTTTTGGATTTTTAAAAGGTATTCCTTCCCTCCTTTGCTGCCCCCTTTTTCCCCAAAAGGTGCTTGTATTGGCTGGTCTTGATTGAAAAGGGGCTTTTCAAGGTGATCTGATGTCTGAAAGGTGCTTGGTTTTTCTCAGAAGGTGCTTGTCTTGCCTGAAAAGGTGCTTTTCAAGGTGTTCTGTTGAAAAGGTGTCTGTTCCCTCCTTCCCTCCCTCTTTTCTTTCTTTTTTTTTAACCTAAGTCATCTTAGGTTAAAAGGAAAAAAAGAAAAAAATCTGCCCCTAGTGGTAGGAACGGATTAACCGGCTTTGCATTAGTTCCTATGGGCACTAATGATTTGAGTTACAAACCGCCCCGCGACCTAAGAACCAAAAAGCTGGAACGGATTAATTGGTTTTCACTGCATTCCTATGGGAAATGCTGATTCGAATTACGAACTTTTCGACTTACAAACTTCCTTCCGGAACGGATTACGTTTGTAATTTGAGGGTTGACTGTATTCAGTTCATTTAATCTTGTCTTTTACTCTCTAACATAATATTAATCTAATATATTCTACTTAAATCAGTATAGATTTCATCCAAGTGTAAAGAGGTTCCCATTTATTATTATCCAGTCTATCATTTAGTGTATCTGTCAAAATATCCATTTATGCTAGTTCAAAGAGGAGAATATTTGACTGCTAGCCAATGGTGGAGGAGGCAATTTAGCTTTCTGTGAGAGGGTGCTCTTTATCTTAGGATCAACCACCTCTTTGTCCCTAAGATCTTGAACTATGGGGAGGCTCATATGGGGACATCTCAGAGCTGGATCCAAGTTGTATAAAACTTTAGAGGCCATAACCATCATTGCAGTGGCCCATCTCTAATTTAGTAACTTCTCACTGCTTCTGATTGTAATGTTTTAGGTTAACTAGAGACTCAGAGTTAGCAGGTCTCAGAGTGCTTAACTGACTGAGTCAACATTGCCTCCAGTGGCAAATATACTGTTAGCCAACAGTGCTGTTGTACAACTTTTATAGTTATGAAAATTAGTCAAGAATATATACATTACAGTACCATTAGGATCTAATGTTTTCACTTATTGTTTAGGAGTTTACCACAATATACTGGGGTAAATGACTAAAAACAATAATATCCATTAAAATATTATTCATAAAATTAGTAAAAATAATTCATTGGAAAGCTGGTGTAACAGGTAGGATTAACAATCAGAAAAAATGCCTAATTCCTACCTTCCTTCCATTTACATACTGCCCATCTAGTGGCAAGCCACCACTCTAATACATGACAGATATATCCAACCATAGCCTAATTTGGATGAGGAAACCATTTTACATTGTAGGTGTAACAGAAAAAGCCCTGAGAAGGTTCGTGTTGGCTTTAAGAGTACAATTTTGAAAGGACTTTCAGAATTAAATTTTAACTGAGCACGTTGTAGATCACTGCAATAATAAAATGGTGCAATGGCATAGTATCTTAAAGAAATTAACAAAGATTAGTATGACAAAATAGACAATATCTATAGGGAAAACATTTAAAAATAAAATGAGATTGTTTTTAAAATCTCTTGGGAAATTCAGATATGGTAGAAAATAAATCTTGTAAACATGTCTGTATAAACCTACATGTGTTATCCTCTGACACCCTGTTTACATTACTTATTTTTCTAAACAACCTTCATAATTTGCATTCAGTTTTAAAATGAAAGATATCCTGATCAGCTTTGTATGTCTTTGTATTTGTTTTTAAACAGGGATTCCTCCTTCAGCAGATGAAGAGAATACAGCACAGCCTGGCCTTTTTAGTGCATCTTCTTCCATTCCTGACACCGTCCTCCCACAAAACATCACTTCCCAGTTGTCTTATCATATTACTGGCTCTGACAATGCACAGGTGCCTGATCATCGTTCAGTCATCTCTCTTTCTTCTGGTTCTAAACAGACTCCTACCCCTTTTTTCCAAAACACAGCACCTGACAGTATTTCTAACACAGTGAAAAATGTACCCCATCTGTCTTCAGACAGTGCAAGCTTACACCGCTGTCGGTCTGGCAGTTATACTGTTGGCCCCTTCTCTTCTTTTCAGAGTGCTATGCAGATCTATAGCCAACGTTTGATCCGCCCATCTTCAGCAAAAGCAGGTAACTGGGTAGCATGCCTGGCTGCTTAACTATACCAATACCTCTTCTGTCTAGAAGTATTCAGAGTAGTTATATTAAGCACAATAGGTCACAGTGTGGCTATGCAAGCATCCAATAGGTGGGATTATTTTTCTAGAAGAGGCTTATTTCAAAAAGAAATATAGCTAATAAGAATCGGAAATTGTTGTGTAGTAAAATGCTAAATTAATAATACAAGTATGAGATGATTATTTTTGGCACCCAGAAATATAAAATAGGATCATTTTGCTTTTCCAGTTTAGCTGCTGTTGGCACCTGACACAGCTTGGCAGTGGTCCTCCATAGTCCAGGAAGTGATGATTAAAATTTATCCATGTGAAACTGCTTAGGGCAAAGTATAGGGCAGTGACAGAAAGTAACCTGCATTGAAGTATGAATGAATGACTCAGATTAGTAGTCTTTTTCTTGGAATAACTCTTCATTTGTTCTGTAAAAGGCCATCCTATTCAAATTATCAGGCAATGTGCACACAGTTCTTAACAGCCTCAGAATCATCTCCATTAGCTGTATACATGAAGGGGGAGTTAGAAGGGGGGCATCTTCCTGAAAAGGGTTTGTTCTTAATCAGTGGAAGAGCGGGCCCAACATGAAAAGGTTCGTTCTCTATCTTGAGTAGGCATGGCCAAAACAAATTTCTGGCTCCAGTGTGGCAGAGGAAATTTCTGTACTTTGGGGTTTTCTTTGGAGAGCAAGTTTTTTTCTTCAGTTTTTCGACAAAAGAGGGCATGGGGCAGAATTTACCTGTTTGAGGGGGGTACGTTTCATTGTTGTTTGCACTGATGAAGGGTGGTCTGCCTTTGGCTCTCTGCAGTGCCTTGGACAGCTTCTTGGCTCTAAATTTCACCACATGGGTCTAAGAAAAAACAAAAATGGAGACAGCAGCAGAGTAAGGCCTGGCATGCTAAACCTTCCTAGTCCCACTAACTTCTTCATTTGGATAGGGGACATGTTCATGTTGGGTACACTCTCTGCCAATCAGAGGAATCTTCACAATAAATCTAACTTTCTGTTCGCTTGTTGATATTGCCTTGAGTCCCATTTGGGGGAGAAAGATGAAGTATACAACTAGAAAGAAAACATTCTCACTTCTTTACTAGAAATATTCAATTGGACCTTTCATACCTTGTCACTATGTAGGAAACTGGCTTTTATCTAATCAGAATATGATGCCATCTAGTAAGCAGAATCCACACCAGTCTTATTCAGTGTGCTGCCCTGCAATAAATAAGGACTGCAGCTCCCCTTGGCCCTAGACAGCATGGACAGTGATTGGGAATGATAGAAGCTGTACTCTAAAACATTTTGAGAGATCTGCATTGGAGTGGTTGAACTAGGAGTAGAGTTTTTGGTGGGGGTATCTCTAGGTTGATCTGATGATTAATGATCTTTGAAGATTGTTAATTCATAGGTTGCTGTAAGTCACATGGACTTGATAGCACATAAGAACATCTGACGCTCCTAAAAGTTGAGTTCAGGACTTTGGCATTCAAAGCGTGTGGTTATTCCTTTTATCAGTGTATTGCTTTCTTTTTCTTGTCAATTAAGTTCTGCTAGGTTTTTTGTCTGTGGCTGAAATCCTGTTTCTGGTGTAAGTTAAGTAGTAAATTTCTGTCCGTTCCTCCCTGGTAAACAAACTGCCCTGCTGCAGTTCTCGAGGGCACCTGCTGGTTTGGTTCATGTGTACATTAACCACTAAGAATTGCAGCGGGGACACTCTGTTTACCAGGGAAGAAGATATTCCAAATTGTGATTTGGCTTATGCTACAAACAGGATTTCAGTCACTAGTTTCCAACTTTTTCACATGAAAATAAGATGGATACCTTTTAAATGTAAAACTCAACTTTTACCTTTGTTAGAGAAAAGGCAATTTACCTAACCCGAGGGCAGACAACCACTGCCTGACTAGGTGGCAATAGTCTACTTATTCCTTTATCTTTGACTTTTGGTCATTCTGGCTAAGGATAAGGGGAACTGGAGTGCAGCAGCATCCACAGAGCCAGTGGTCCCATCCCTGACTAAAAGGGTGATAGAAGAACAACAAATGGCCCATTGTTCCTTAAGTACTAATGGGGATATCAGGCTTGCATAAGGAATGTTTTGTTCTAACCAGCTTTCCTTAGTGAGATGCATTCTTCAGACGTGCAATTTCAATGGTCAATGATTTTCAGTGACACGAAAAGTAGTTTTACCAGCTGGTAGTGTCATGCTGCATGTATGCCGGACTCTGTAATATTCCAAACCCCCATCTTGCACAGCTTCAGAATCTCTGATAGAATTGTTAAAATTGTAAAGTGTTTTCTCAAAATTATATTTTGGCACTATGATTCTTCTAGTGTTCTTTTTCAGTTTTAATGTTGGATATTAACAGTTCATGATAAGTACCACAACCTGCTCGTGGTTTAATTTTTGCAGACCTCATACAACTCCTCCATTTCCTTCTTCCAGTTACTATATCATCTAGTGATGTCCATGTGTGCAGTTGTCCCTCTGGTTGCTTCAAGCATGTACAGTATTTTCAATATACAGATTGTTGGCTTCGCAGAAATCTTAACAGTCGCTCTCCTGGTTCATTTCTGTCCCCTAGACCAAATTTTCAACAACATTTGGCTCTGCTTTGTTTCTTACTTTTGCATCCCAGTCACCTACGATTATAAGTATGTCTTGTTTCGGCGTATGATCAGTTTCCACCTGAATGCCTGCATAAAAGCTTTCATAGTCATCATCAGCATCTGTAGTTGGAGCATAACTTTAATTATGGTTATGCTTATAAGTTTTCCACAGAGTCTGATTGATATTATTTGGTTAGACTTTGCATTATAGCCCCTAACTGTCACTTTTACATTATGCCTCAGTATTAGAACCACTCCATTTCTTATAAGTTTGTCATTTCCAGAGTAGAACACTTTGTAGTTGTCTGACTGAAACTATCCCACTCCATTTCACCTCCTATGCAGTACAGTGGTGCCTCCCTTAACGAGTGCACCGTTTAACGACGAATCCACATAGCGACACGTTTTTTGCGATCACTAATGCGATCGCATTGCGATGTTTTAGTTGGCAAAACATTGCATTGTGATGATCGGTAAGCGTTTTGCTTACCAATCTTTGCATTGCGATGTTTAGAAAACAGCTGATCGGTGGTTCCAAAATGGCCGCCGGGTGCAGAAAATGGATGGGGAATCTTTACTTACCGTTGAGTTTTCCCCCGTTGAGTTTAATGCGTTCCTATGGGGTTTTACGTTCCGTATAGTGATGTTTCCGGATAACGACGTTAATCCTGGAACGGATTAACGTCGCTATGCGGGGCACCACTGTACTAATAAAAATTAGCTTGAGTGTTATTGCCATTGCCTCCTGTGCCAGTGTCACCTTCAGCTACAGCTGCTGCCCAGGAGCTACTGCCCCTGTCACTATAGACGCTATCCATTATCTTCTGCTGATGTAGTGGTTATTATTCCTCATTGGGTGAACCTGCTCACAATGGATGACCTCCTGATGGCATTGCCTTAGCTTCTCTGATACACTTTAAGATGTGTAATGAAGCTTCAGCATGTTAAGGTGTGTATCCAAGAAGGGGGGTAATTCTCTTCAACGTTCTTTGGATTTTCTGTGGTTGCATATATAAAGAACAGCTCTGCATTACTATACTTTGATCGTGATCCAGAAGAACTGTGGATTGAAACCAGAGACTCCTGATGGCATTGCCTTAGCTTCTCTGATACACTTTAAGATGTGTAATGAAGCTTCAGCATGTTAAGGTGTGTATCCAAGAAGGGGGGTAATTCTCTTCAACGTTCTTTGGATTTTCTGTGGTTGCATATATAAAGAACAGCTCTGCATTACTATACTTTGATCGTGATCCAGAAGAACTGTGGATTGAAACCAGAGATATCATTAGGGAAGGGAAGAGGTAGATGAAAGAAGAAACCCTTGAAATTGCAAAGGACAGGTGAGAAGCAAAACTAAAAGAAACAGGATCATAACCTTGAATGCAGCTTTTCAATGACTGTCATATAGAGACAAACAGAACTATTACAATAGACAGTGCAGAGAAATAGGGAAGAAGACAAAAGGGGGAAAATAAGAGATTTATTCCAGAAAATCCAATAAATCAAAGGGAAATTTAAATCTAGATTAGGAGTGCTGAAGAACCAACAGGGAAATACATTATCTGACCAGTAGAAAATAAAGAAAAGGTGGAAACAGCATATAGAAGACCTCTACAGAAAAGTTAAAAGGATAATTGACTCCTTTGAAGAGGAATCATACGATGAAGAACCTGCAATTCTAGAAAGTGAAGTGAAAGCTTCTCTGAAAGCAATGGGAAGAAAAAATCACCGGAGGCAGATAGGATATTGATAGAACTATTTAAAGTGACACAGACTGAATCGGTCAAAATCCTAAGAAGAATATGCTAACTAATATGGAAAATAAAACAATGGTCCACAGACTGAAATGTTCAATATGTTCCTTCCCAAGAAAGAAGATGCCAAGGAGTGCAGTAGCTATAGGACCATTGCTCTAATTTCCTTTGCAAGCAAAGTGATGTTCAAGCTGTTGCAACAAAGGCCTGTACCTTATGTGGAGTGAGAAATGCCTGATGTTCAAGCTGAATTCCAAAAAGGAAGAAGCACTTGAGATCATATTGCAAATATCCACTGGCTAGTGGCACACCAAAGAATTTCAGAAGAAGATCAGTCTATGCTTTATAGAGTACAGCAAAGCTTTAGACAGTGTGGATCATGAGAAACTGTGGGTTCTTCTGAAAGAAATGTGTATACCTTAGCCCTTGATTGTCTTGAAATGTAACCTGCATGGCGTACAAGAAACTACCATAAGGACAGAATATGGAGAGACAATGGTTTCCTACAGGCAAGTGTGCATTCTATCCCCTTACCTGTTTTATCCATAGGCAGTTCACATATGGAAAACCATGCTAGATTCAGATGAAGGAGTAGTGAAAATTGGTGGAAGAAATTTCAGTCATTTAATATATGCCGATGACACAATCCTACTAGCATAAAGCAGTAATGACCTGAAACAACTTTTAGTGAAATTGAAAGAAGAAAATGCAAAAGCAGGACTGTAGTTGAACATTAGGAAGACAAAAATCACAACTTTAATGTTGATAATGAAGATGGTAAATTGCATACCTTGTTCAATTCGTCAATTCAAATGAGGACTACAGCCAAGAAATCAGGAAACTGAAACTCTGAAGAAAAGCAAAATAGGATGTAGAAAGGATAATGTGTAAGGATGTGTCACTATAGACCAGGGGTCTCAAACATGCAGCCCGGGGGCCATTTGCGGCCAGCCGGAGATAGTTTGTGGCCCCCGCCTTGCCTCCCCCCCTGAAGTTCCCACTGGTCCTCTGCTATCAAGAGTCAAAAAAAGCCTCGCCTCGCTAACCGGCTCTCCCCCAAGACAATGGGCTGGCAGGCTGCAGTTCCTGATAGAGGGTGCAAGAGGCACTGTCTTGGGGGAGAGCGGGCAAGTGAAGCGCGCTGGTGGCCCTTTTCCCCAAGTGCCCGAGCTGCTGCCGAGTGATGCCTGAGAGCGGAGCTCGCTCCCGGCCTGTCCTCGAAGAGCTCTGTGGCTCTCTTTCTCTCTCGGCATCCCCAGCACCAGCCCGGCCAGCGGCTGCCTCAGTGCCTGGTGGTGCTTTCTCCTCCTCCTCTTCATCCTGCTTCATCCACTTCGGCTCTGGAGGCTGTCTGGGCTCGCCTCGCAAGGTTTGCTCCGCTGTCGTGGTGGGGGTAGCTGCTGCTGCTGAGTGCGCCTTTTTTGGGGGAGGGCTTCATAGGAATGTTGCCGGACTTCCTGTGTGTGTGTGTTTGAGGGCTCGTGCACCCCTCCTCCTCCTCGAAGCCCCAGCCGGGCTAAGGAAACTCCTGGGCGGCTTCCTCGGGCTCTTGCTCCACTTGGCGGAAAATCTGATGCGGCCCAGCCTGATCCAGACTCTGCCTCCAGCGGCCCCCAGGTAAATTGAGTTTGAGACCCCTGCTATAGACCAAGATCACGCTCAGCCTTGTATTCTTAATCACCATGTCGGAGTGTGAAAACTGACAGGAAAAAAAATCATTTGAAACATGGTGCTGGAGAAGAGCTTTGCAAGCAGGAATGTTGAAACTGAGGCTGTCCTACTTTAGGTACCTCATGTGAAGGCAAAATCCACTGCAAAAGACAATAATGCTGGGAAAGGTGGAAGGCAGCAAGAAAAGAGGAAGACCAAAGACTCCCTAAAGGTAGCCACAGGCTTGAGTCTGCAAGAGCTGATCAGGGTTGTTGAGGACGGGCATTTTGGAGAACACTCATTCATAATGTCACCATAAACCAGAGGCAACCTGACAGCACATATGAACAACACCAACAAACCCCATGCAGAATTTCACACTTTGGATAGTTTTTTCTCAAATGATGGAGAAAATATTGTTGGATGATCTTTTGAATCCAACAATATTACTCTTCAGTATTACTTTTCCATTTTGTTTCTCGTAAATATACCTGCACACCTTAAGTACCATCCAGTGGCCAAAGTCCACATGTATAGTTACACTTGTGGAAGAAACAGCATAACTTTCAGAGGCTTGTTGCTGCCAGTTAACAAGTTCTTACTGGGATTCTCAGGCACATGCTTTCCCTCTGAATGTCACATGCCCCAAAGTTCCAACAGGGACTTGGTACCTAACAGTGATTGTCTGCTGAAAGTCATGCCATTTATCTTCTGCAGATGTAATTAAGAAACAGGATTTTGGCAGGGGCTGTTATTTTGTTGTTTTATTTTGTATTCCATTGCTGCTTGCAACTTTAAGCACCATTGGGTGGAAAAGTGAAATACTTTGACTGATAAATTGTAACCCTTACTTTCTTGAAAAAATATCCCTCATTAGTTTGCTTGTCTGTGTGACTTTCTGGCTGAAATCCTGTTCTTCAGCTTCATGTATGCAATGAGGAAGATGTCAGCAGCATCAAGTTGCTGCTGATTAAAAACAGGTCATTGCAGATTTAAAGGCTATTTCAGGGTACCTGTGACTTGCACATGATGTGATGAAGTTATGTGCACCCCAAAATCACCAATGGAAGCCTTTATTCAGTTGCAATTTGTATCTGCCACTGGTGTCATCATCATTGTGCATGCAGAGCTGTGTAACAGGATTTCAGACTCTGAATCATGACTTTTCAGTAGGGTTAATTTTTCTGTTATACTGTATTTCTGTTCCCTTGTTGTTTAGAAGTGGGTTGGAGTGTTGTGTATGAAATTTGTTTTGACTAGAAATGAAAATAGACGCTTTGAGCTATATTTTGTGTTGGGAAGGAAGCACAAAATTGGAATTAGAGCGGAGAACTGAACCATAAGAAGTTAAATGTATGAATAAATTCTGCAAGAAAGTTTTTATTAAATGTTGATTGCCTCTTGTTTATTACAGATAAAGAAGAGATATTCTCTGTAAGCTGACCCTAACTGTTACAAAGTAAATTGTTCCACCATCTTTAGCAGGTTCAAGGAGTCACAGTCCAAGCAGACAGCGTGGTACATCCGCTAGAGTGAATAAGGATGAGAAAGACTGCAGACGTTACAGTCATGGCATTGTTGCAGCAGAATTGCAGAGACTGGCAGAGAAACAGGCGGCCAGGCAGTACTCTCCACCTACTCATATCAGTCTTCTTACACAGCAGGTATATAAGAATCAGTATTTTAAAGTCAGAATATATATTTTAAGGCTATATTTCTTAGAAACTCTGTGAGCTATACAATGTGGTTTGTGGAGCTATAGTGTAAAAAGGGTTACCAGTCATGGGGCTTTAAAATGTTTGGGTTCCAGCTCCCAGAATTTTCCAGGCAGAATTCTAGGAGATGCAGCCCCAAATCAGAAGTCTATAGGCAGGCTTCCTGGGAGGTATAATCCCACTGTCCATTAGGCTCTTTAGAGGGCACTTCCCAGTGAATTTCCTGTCCCAGGAAGACTTGCTCAAAGAAGATTTTCTATGCATGATACCATAAAAACAGGTATGAGGGGCCCTGTTGAAGCAAGTGAGAGAAAGAATCATCCATTTGCCACAGAAGTTGAGGACTGGACGTCCCTTTCACCATGATTTAAAAGAATTAATTGGGAAGAAGAGGCTTCACAGAGCTGATTTAATCTTACATCCTCCAAATAACTTAGATTTGAAGGAATGTCAGGAAAACTTTATATATCTGGCTCCCACAATTTAAAAAAATATTTAGCAGAAAGGTCTCTGAATGGGTTGTCCTATTACAGCTCAGGAAAGACAAGGGCCATGTGTTCTAATTATACTCTTAATGGGCCAGATCCTCTCACTAGTTTTTCCCTTGGTTTATCTCAGCAAAACTCCTCATTCTGCTCTTTTCTTGTATCTCTCTAACATCTATATTTTTAAAAAACAACTTCTTCTCTTCATTTTTCACTTTGTTTCTCTCCCCCATGTTCTTCTGAGGGTGAGGGAGGGGGGAAGAAACATCATTTTAATCTAGATATGTGACAACAGTGTAGCAGTTGTAGTAGTATGCAGTCAAACTGTTTTTGTGACTAAAATAAAGGTAAAGGTTCCCCTTGACATTTAGTCCAGTTGTGGCTGACTCTAGGGTGCGGTGCTCATCCCCGTCTCCAAGCCATAGAGCCAAAGTTTGTCCATAGACTGTGTCCGTGGTCACGTGGCCAGCACGACTAGACACGGAACGCCGTTACCTTCCCACCGTGGTGGTAACTATTTATCTACTCGCATTTACATGCTTTCGAACTGCTAGGTTGGCAGGAGCTGGGGCAAGTGACGGGAGCTCACTCCATCACGTGGATTTGACCTTACGACTGCAGATCTTCTGACCTTGCAGCACAGAGGCTTCTGCGGTTTAACCCACAGCACCAACACATCCCTGTGGTGTGACTAAGAGCTTGACACAAAGACAGCAAACATTGTTTTCCCATCACTATTATATCAGTGTTAAAGAAATTTAATTTTCAGTAGGTAGAAGGAGACACACACTGTACAATTAGCAGTACAAGCAATTAATACCACTAAAGCAATGTCCCTAGTACTGGCAATTGAAGGTGACTATAGATGTGAAGTACCTACAGAAACATGCAGCTGTATATGGAAGTAAGTTACTATTCCTGGACACTAATCAGAAAAATATCAGTGGAAAGATCTTGTATTTCCCTTCTAATTACCCTGGGTCTAGTCATTCCCATGTGGAAGTATTGCTAATCCAATTTTCTTGTGCTTCCAAGTTTGTTCTTCCTGCTGATTTTTACTCCTTCACTGTCCTCCTACTTTTTTTTAAGGTAAGCTTTTGTACATAAGGGACTGTTTAAGTTGTTGTGACCAATAATCGTATCAGTTTAGTAGTGTTTGATCATTTACAGCTTTAGGCATCCTGACATTGACAGGATGCCAATCTTTTGCTCTCTTGTTGGTAAAAATTATTCATGTTTGACTGAGAATAGCAGGAACTTGCATAAAGTCCGTAGCCATACATCACTACATCACACTTGTTCATCTTTGTATTTTATCTTCTGCATCCTGAAGTTTGAGTTGATGGTATATCAGATGAAAGATGGGCTAAAGCCTTATTCTGGTTGAAACACAAGTGTAAATTTGGCTTTTCAGCTTAAGGAAAATATTATGATAGGTATCATCTTCCAGCTGTGCATTTTCCTACCTTTTGGCAGTTAACTAAACACTGTAGACCATGTTATTTCCATGGAATGTATTAGAAGCAGCAGCTAGGAGAACAGTACGGTAGAATTATAGTTCACTGAGCAGATATTTTATTAACATAAGGCAGAGAGGACTACAGATTAGTTTGTTTTGTTTGTATTGTAGTCAAGCAGCATTCAGTTTGTTGCATCTACAGTTGAAAGACCCTCACTGTAGCCTGGGAAGACATTTGCATGAAATCTTAGAAGGTAGGTCCAATCAGGATTGAAAGTACTTGGCTAGCTGAGCATAGTCTAATTTGATGTATTTTAGTTTTTTCTTTAAAAACACACACACACAACTGCCCTTTCTGTGCTATATGCTCTGTTTTGGGATTGGTTCTGTGTGAGGTCTTTTATCAGTGGCCATTGTGTGCATGAGGGTGGGTGGGGAGCAGTAGTTTATTGCTGTCGTCTCCTAGGCTGCAGTACTCTGTGGTTATTGATGATAAATAGAAGAATGTGTGGACTTGGCCTGGCTTGATAAAAAGGAGGGAAAATCTAGTACGAATCCTCCCCTTGTTTGAACAAGTGCGTGAGAATTCTGGGACTGACTATCACTAGGAACAGCTCCAGCTCTTCCATCCAAGGAGTCTGATCACAGGGATAATATCAGCCCACCCAGGCGAGGGCTGGAATGAGATGGATCTGTCTTCTCTGTTCAGCCAGCCAGTGCTCAAATCTTGCAGACAGGCTTCCTGCAAATGTGTGATGTGTACTTACAGTAGGATTTGGGAAGGAGACCTATTTCTTTCATGTTTTCATTTGGTAAGAAGGTGTAATTAGGATAACTTGGGCAATCCTGATGGAACTCCATAGAGAATATGGGGCATAGAACATCTACTGCAGAGTTTTCATAGCAACAGCTATATGCTAGGTACTAATAATTGCAAAACCTATCTTATAAGTGTTTCATGTGGAGACTATCAATAGTTATTAGTCATTATGGCTATATATTTCCTCCCAGTATCAGAGGCCATATGTCTTTCAAAACTGGTTGTTGGGTGGGATATCTGTTTGTGGGTACCTGTAGGGTTACTCGGGGATCTGATAAATCACAGTCATCTGTAGGTTGACTCTAGGGTCATCCAACATGCCTGCTTTTATGTTCTCAACATTAATTCTGTCTGATCTATATTAGTAAATTAAATTAGTGTCTGTGTAAAATGAATAAGAAAGGTAAATAGCATTCTACACACTAAAAGGGTGTAATTCACTTGACATAAAATATATTTGATGCCATGCTCCTGTCCCTACTTTGAGACCTACTTGGACTTCAGCTGACAGAACAGTCTTCAAGATGTCACAAAACTTTTTCAGAGCATCTCAAATTGCATTCTTCCTTCTTCCCTTCTTTTGGTTCTACTTTTCTTTCACGTTCCTTTTTAATGTGGCAGAAAAACATTTTGAAGACTAAATTCCCTGACAGTGTTTGAGATAATCCTCTGCTCTTCTTCACTGCCATTCATGGCAGATTCTGATAAAAAGCATATGCTGATTTGAGTGCAATTTGTAGCACCTTCATCAAGAGCTTTTCTTATTTTGTGAAAAGATTCCCAACAGTAATTTTCAGACCTAGGTCTGATCATTAACTGCATCTTACAACATAAACGTACTTTTATTATTTTTAAGCAATATAATACTATCTTTTTTCTTTTTCTCAATTTGTCTTTTGCTTAGTCTTTTTATTTTGTCACCTTTTTTCATAGTGAGTAACCCCTAGCTGAAATGATGTGGGCCCAATTTGTAGGTTATGATCCACGAATAGTAGGTCAGACCCACCAGCTGCAAATACTTTAAAAGAAGAACGGTGTATTTGGAACTGCATCACTTCTTCTGTTCTTTGTCTTCAAAGGGTTTTTTGTGCACTTGGAATGGAACTTGTGATTTGAAGAAAATCACTAGTTGAATCAAGCTGAGCTTTAAGGAACTTTTGCTGTGGGAAAGATTATTCCCTGTTCATCTAATGTCTGGCATGTATGTCTGCTGTTGAAATAGCTTGCTCCTACTGAGAAAGTTTGAAGCTGTGAGTGTTTAATTCAGGGCCTGACTTTTTCAGTAATGGAAAGAGACAAGTCACCATTTGCTACACTGTGAACCATCTCTTTTTAAAACGATGGTTAAATGGATGCATACGCTGGAGACAGTACAGACGAATCTGCAAGTTTGTCAGGTTTCCCAGGAATGTCTCTGGCAGGTCTTTGTCTGGAACGTTTTCTGGAGACTAGAACACTTGTGCTTTTTATGCATGTGCATATCCTGTAAGCTGGTAAGCTCAGCAAGCAAGGAAGGAATGTCATGGGCCTTTAGCCAGATCAGCTTTGGTACACACACAGATTTCACACCTCTCAAGCCCTTTAGTCCTTGCTCACATTTTCCTTTGGCTTATAGTTGTGAATGCAAATATATACATGAAATGAACTTGCCTGAGGGTAGATTTGTACTGTATGGGTGTGGCTGAAAATGGCCTTCAATCAAGAACAGAATGGTCTTGGAATAAGTCCTTTTTTTCCAAGAGGCCCTCATAACAGTTGGACACAACAAATAGTAAAGCAAAGACTTAGTACCAGCATGCTTATATTTCCCCCCACACATCTAATTACTGATCATATACAACCGTATCCAGAGGAGCAAATATGGAGTCTGTTAATTTTGACTAGGCAGATTGGTAAGGAAGATGATAAGTCCTGGTTATAGACATACTTTTTTTAGCAGAGATGAGATAAAGGAAGTGATAATTGACAATCCAGATGCTGTTATTTTATACTAGTTGTATATAACCTTTCACATGAATAGTAGTAACTATTACTGATGAACACTATAATTACTTCTGTTTATATTTCCACTGGAGTCAATGGCCAAAATTCTGTTGCTTATTTCAATAAACTGCACTAGAGTAGACCTACTGAATCACTAGAGATTTGGTGAGTCACTTCCTTCATAAGTTCCATGAATTCAAAT